AAAAAAAAAAAAAAAAAATAAAAAAAAATTCAACTCAATAACACAGATGCAAGAACTTTGTCCAGAAGAAAGCCACATGCCCTGTGATATGCTTGGAGCCATGAGGCCCATGAGTCAACAACATTCACAGCAAAATTTAAATCTGTATGGTCATAAAATGAACAAACATACCACGACCCATCATGCAAGATTCCCATTCATGATTTGCTAAAAACATCAAGGGAAATGCAATTCCTGAATGCACTTTTACTTAGCATTAAATTCCATGACCTAATTGAATTCACTAGTTCTGCTGTCAGGCAGCTAATTAAAATAATGGGGTGAGAAAAAGCATTTTTCAATTTATGATTAAGCTCTGTTTGTCAAACCTGCAAACATCCTAAGACTAAACCACAACTAAAATAGCCTTGTGTGAATTTCTATTTCTGATAAACAAAGGTAGGAAAGCAAATTTCTCAATACATTCAAATACCTGTGATAGTCATATCAAGTGAAGTTCCTAATCTTCCAGATAAACGAGTTCAAAATAGTAATAATTCTTGGATCATGAAACTAACATACATATCAAAATAGGGTAAATGGAGACATAACAGGACTGAGACTGAATACAGCAGTCTTAGAGAAAGTAGTTTCTAAACCAAGAGTTGAGTGATACGAAGTAATGCCAGTACTTCAATTGAACCAAACCACACGATACAGCCTCTTCACAGTTCAGTCATTTTCGCTAACTGCCTGCAAGCATAACAACAAAGCTTAACTCATAGTGTTGCCATAACACTTAAAGATATTAAGAAAGTAGGAACGTTATCCGCAAGGCTGATTTCTGAACAATAAAAATCTTATTTAAGTTAAAAAAATCATGAGAGCATTTAAACAATTAGAAAGAAAAAAAAAATTATATCTTATATCTATGTCACATGAGAACAATTCCATCTTGTTGCACCACCTATAATTTAACGAAAACCCAAATTCTAGAGGCCCGGAAAGCCAAAAAACTAAGCTACATCGGCAAATAGCTGTTCTAAATAATGAATCTACTGTAAGCAAATGATTAAATCACTCTTCATTACATACCCAACTGTAGCAAACCTATTATTCTCAGTCCTATATGTACTCCCACAGCATCCAAAATTTATATCAGATCAAAGCACCTAACCATCACTCCTAAAGCTTTGCTGTACTACTTACTAGCAAAGAATATTTATTCCCATTTCCTCAAATGAGAAAGAGAAGTCTCATCAAAAACTTCTTGCATATCACTCAAAGCCCAAACAGCATAAGCCACACCAAGCAATTTTCCGTTCAGACAATTCATCAAACACCTCTTACGCGCCATTCAAAACCCATGGAAAAACAAAGCACACACCAAACCAATAACCAAATAAATTCCATTGAGGCAATTCATCAAATACTTACACATGCTACTCAATAACCCAAGAACAGAACCAAATAAAGCACAAAAATTTGCCTTAGTGTTTAACAACACACCGATATTAAGAAATCCCATACAGAAACACAAATCACTGAGAACATATCGTAGTGAATTCTTTCTCACATACCTAAATTACCAGCATCACTTGCCAGTATTCATCATCAGAGTTATATTGTCCCCTTTCAACAAAATCCTCCCCAGCTGCTTTCTGCTGTTCTTCTTCACGTTAACCTCCTCAGCGTCATCCAGAACCAAATTCATGTACTCGTCGAATCCAATTATGCGGCCCTCAATCCTCAGATCTTTCTGCTCGAAAAGCCATATCTGAATGCGAGCTTTGCTCTGAAGAAACCTGAAGATCAGGTTAATGGGCTGGGTCATAATCCGCTGGACCTTCGTGCTCGCCATGGCTGCCGTTCGTAGGAATCTGCCACAGAAAATTTCTTGGCGCTCTTTTGTATTTTTCTCGCTGCGAAAAACCCTAGCAATGGGTCTTGGATGCTCTCGTCTCTCTTATGGGAACTGTGAGCTGAAGTCGTATTTTTAACATCTAACGACTTAATTGGGCTTCATGCCTAAAGTTTGGGTGGGGTGTTTATTAATTTTTACTTTTTAACTGTTAGACAGACAAGTTAATTAGTGGTACTTTGTTAAAAATATACTAGTACGAAACCCGTGCGATGCACGGGTAAGAGAAATTCATTAATTTAAAAATTAAAAATTTAATTAAATAATATTATAAATTAAAAACATGAAATCAATATGCAATACAATGTACCTATATTAATTTATTGAAAATATTATATAAAATTTAAATTGTGCAAAATTTAAAAAATTTAAATCGTGCAAAATTACTTAAAAATGTCTATTTAAAAATTAAAATTAGTACACAACCCGTGCGTTGCATATAACTGATAATAAGTTTCATTATATTCGTTTCAAAATATGTGTTATTCAAAATTTTTATTAAAAAATTCGATTTGACTATAACGTGATTCCATAAAATAATCTTTATACCATATATTAATTAATTTATTTCCTATAGAAATAACTATCGATACAAAAAATAAATTCGTCCACTTTATACCATATATTAATTAATTCACATGAATTGAATAATTAAGGTATCTTAAAATATAGCTTAATTACTTCCTTAAATAATAAACTGCAATTTCCATAAGTGATCATTTGATATATACCATAAATTGTTAAATTAATTTTTCTGAAATAGTAAATAATTTTTTTTTTGCAGGAAAATAGTTACTATTTAAAAAATAATCAAATATATATATATATATATCTATATATATATAGATTTGGAGAGTAAGATATGTCAATCTGTGATTTAACCAAAAAAGAAAAAACAACATTTTAATGATTTTATAATTAGAGTAGCTATTTTTAGTTTACTTTATTTTGTTTTGAAAATAATTGCCAAACAAAAAAAATTGAATCATTGCAATCAAAACATAATTGTCTGATTTAATGGTTAGAAAAAAAAGATTAAAAAATTAATTATTTTATAAGCTGAAATTTATTTTTATTAAAAAATAATAGCTGCCATTTAAAACAATTTTATTAGCCGATTTGATGTTAAAAAAGTTACCGATTTTTTTAAAATAAAAAAGTAAATTTTTATTATTAAATCAACCATAATTTCTTTTTATCCCAAA